TTGAGATTTACTGCCCAAAAAAAAAAAAAAAGAAAGAAAATGTAACTATTTCTGTGGTTCAGAATTTTAATGAACTATGAACATCCTGCCAAGATTAGAAGTAAAAGTAGTGACCCTGTAGAGTAACAAAGTGCAGGCTGTCTGCCAGTTATCATATGAATGTATTTAGACAATAATTAATGACTGTGATGTCACATCTTCTAAATATCCCATCAGAGTTAAAATATTGCCAAGTGGTACAAAATGCTGACTAAAGATTGATTTAAGTAACAAAATGTCTTCAGGGCATGAGCCTATCAGTGGTCAAGTTGTCTTTTGGACTCCTCAATTTCAACTTTTGGACTGCCATTTATTTTTCATTTAATTATTATTATTATTATTATTATTATTATTATTATTATTATTAGAGCAAATGGTACCCGGATGACCTGTCTCATGAAAAAAATATATATTTGGACCCCCTATTGGAAAAGTCTTGTCTAAATCACGGAGTTCCATATATTGATAACATTGTATCACCTATGGAGATAAGATGTACTATGAGAGTCACATATAATGTTACATAGTGTATATTTTTATCACTGCTGTCATAACAGTTTACTTAGAAGTGTGTACCAGATGTACTACATGAGGGGGCAGAGAGCCTTTGATGTGGTTTATTAATGGATGTCTTATTTTAACATCCTGTAAATCCATGACAAAATTATTGCAGAATGATATGTTTCAGAATTAATCTTGGGAGTTGGCAACCTTTTTTATTTTCACACCTCAAGATCAAAAATGTTGCTGTTTCTAAGACATATTTCCACTTAAACTGGGCAGTGTCTTTTTCTATAGTTGTGTCATACAGCAGTTACTAAATGGTAGTCTATATGGTATTATATATATAGTATTATACTTGAGGGTATTGACATTTGGCACTTGCTTTTTTCTGCAATCACTCTTCATTAAAGGGATCTTCTAGCTAAAATTTATTTTTATTTCTGAGTAACCTGATCACTTCTTTTGCTATAGACACAGATGGGCTAATTTGAGAGTTGGCTTTTCATTTTCAAAGTAAGATATTTGAACTGATAGTTCTGAGTGTTTCTTTCTGGAAAAAATAGGGCATGATCTTTGGGTTAATTGTTGTAGCAGTTGCTGAACAGAGCTCAGAACATTGTGCAATTGGTGGTAAATAGCAGTCAGCTGCTCCTGGAAAGAAAAAATTGGACACTAACAGATGTTAACTATTTTCTTTTCTGAGAATTCAAGATTCTCGTGGAATCTGAGCCTCCTAACATTTTTGCACCAAGGCCATAAGATGCCTGAGTGGTTTAGAAGAAATGATTCAAATATACCTTGAGGGATTGGTTTCGGAGCATTTTTGTATATAAATATTAATTTTTTATGCCACATTACTTTGCATTTAGATGTATTTACTGAAACTGACTAACAGTTATAAAAATAGGAGAATGCATCTTTATTAGTAAGATTGACTTTAAAATTTTGAAATGAATCTATGAATAAATGTTGGTGCACCAATCAACAAGATTGAAAGAAAAAATTCTACTGATGACAAATTTTATATGATTTTCATTTCAGAATTCTTCAAAGGGAACTGACTCACGTCAGCGGGGTGTCGGAGTCAGTGGAGATGATGACAGGGTCGCAGAAGGAGATGGAGAGTAAGCTGGCCACCCTCCTGACCTTGACTGGTGATCTCCCAGAACTCCCTCAGACCAGCCGCGACCAGATGTACCCGCTGGATCTCTGCTTCCATTACGAGGTTGAGGGATACAGAAAAATTAATCTCCAATGTACAGCTAGACATTACTTTGTTACAGAAGGTGATACGTGGCGAGATTCCATCAACGCCTGAATTACAGGACATATTTTTATCCATCAGCGAAAATCAGGTCCCCAAGGCTTGGTTGATCTTGACCTTCCCAACGAGTAAACCAGTGATGAGTTGGCTGAATGATTTAAAGTGTGCTGTGGAACTGTTGACGAGTTATCTCAGTGAGGTTGACCGTCCTGCCACCTATAATTTATCAGCATTTCTGCGTCCTGATCGTTTCCTGCAGACAGTCTTACAGACACATGCCAGGAGGAATTTCCGTGATCTGCAGGCATTCCAGCTACAAGCTGAGGTAGGTTATATGCTGTATCACCTAACACAATTGTATATCTAACAGGCTGTCACACCTAACACAGATGTTCAACTAACAGGCTGTCACACCTAACACAATTGTAAATCTAACATGCTGTCACACCTAAAACAATTGTACATCTAACAGACTGTCACACCTAACACAATTGTACATCTATCAGGCTGTCACAACTAACACAATTGTATATCTAACAGGCTGTCACACCTAAAACAATATTCATCTAACAGGCTGTCTCAACTAACACAATTGTAAATCTAACATGCTGTCACACCTAGCACAATTGTACATCTAACAGGCTGTCACAACTAACACAATTGTTAATCTATTCTGTCACATCTAACACAATTGTTTATCGATGCTGTCACATCTAACACAATTGTTTATCTACGCCGTCACACCTAACGTAATAAAGCACATCACAAAATGCCACACATCAAACACAACCCTTGCATTAAAGGACCATCACCACTACCAGTTATACAGGTAACTCGCTTGTTCCTTGTTTTCAGTATATTACCACTGTACAGTGGCATATGTAGCTTATCTAGACAGTGCCAAAATACACACTCTAAGGCACACAAACCAGATTTGTATCAATTTCATTATATGTTAACAAACCAAAATTCTGTCATAGCAACTGGAAATTTATATAATAATTCCATTTTTTTTACTGTTCATTTTTTTCAAATCTACCACCAAACAATTCCCCTGAAAAGTTCCACCCACTTGTTCTATGTTATGTATTCTGTGGTTCTTCTAGTGAATTTCTTGGCACATGCTAGAACACCTACTGGGTGCAGAGGTGGATACGCCGTCTGCAAAATATTTTATCTTCTCATCAGTCAACGCCTTACATACGAAGTTTGATTTTTAACTCTGAGGGCCTGCTGTCTTTGATTATATGAAATAGTGTAGGTGGAGCTTATACAGGTCGATTCTGGAAGGAAGGTGTAAAATGAAAGAGAGAAAAGAACTTGTGTTCAGACTAAATGATGTGCTCAGTAATAAAAGTGGGTTCTTTTTCTTCCCCCCTCTCAACCTTTTTAAGATGACTTTTAGAAAGCAGGTAAATGATTCAGTTTAAGAGGAATTATGAGTGCAAAGGTCTCCACATGAAAGGGTAGAGCAATGGTGTACGGGTCTACCTGTGGATTAATTTGTTTATTCCAGTTCTTGAGATAAGATCGATGTGAAGTACAAAATGTTTTTAACATTTAGAAATAGGTGGAAAAAAAGAAGAGATTATTTAATGTTACTGGGTGGTTGATCTTTGTAAAAAGCCAAGTCTTTAGCGGGAGCAGTTTGATAGACCACTCTGTTTGGTTATCTGCTGTGCTGCAGTGAGTAAGGAACTGCTTAGAGGGTACAGAGAAAATTAACATCACTTGTGTGAGGGTGGAGAGTGTGACCTTAAAAATATGTTCATATTTGCTCTGTCTTTCTCTTTCACACACGCATACACATGTACTTCTCTCACACACCTATGTACACTCTCTCTCTCTCTCTCTGTCTTTCTTTCTTACACACGCATACACACACTGTTTTCTGCATGGCTTCCATTCAGATCCTTATACTAAGTAACCTACACAGCAACAGTGTCAATTATATCCAGGTATGTTTGCTAAAATGGCATAACTAGACTGACTTTTATAAAAACATTTGTTCAGTTGATGAAGTACATGTGTGTATTAGAAATGGACAGAGGGTGACGACAACGTAGGTTATTGAATTCAGATTTTGTATTTTTGTCCAATTTTTACTGAAATATGCAAAGATTACAGTTTGGAATTCCATAATTCCATTTTTTCACCAATATGTTTCATATAAAATCAGTGGTTTTTAACCGATGTTCAAACTTACAGCTTAATGAGTTGCACTCTCTTTTGACTTCTCACTGATGTTTTACTCATCATGACGGTTTAGTCAGAAATATTTATACTTCCAAGAATAATCAGTGAAAACCGTTTTCTTTTTTTCTCACTTTCCCCTTGGCAACCTTGCCAGCAAGTGCCTAAGGAAGCTAGTTTTGTATCATATTGACAGTTACACAGGTTTACAGTGGGGAATAGCTGGCAGAGTTCAGGACGAGGAATTCATGCTAATAGATTCTTCACATGGTGTTCTTGCCTAGCTGCGCAATCATTCTTGGCACGGGAAACAAAGACTGGAAATGTGCGAAGTTCCATTATTGGGCTCACAGACGATGAATCAGTCAAAGTGACGGTTTTAGAAATCTGCATTGGAAAAATTCTGAGCAGATTCTACCTGGGATCCTGAACAATTTTTTACTGCTTACCAATTCTCATCATGTCAGGTTCTAAACTTGGAAATTCCCTACAGATTAAGTGTTTAAAACAAATCTTTCTTCACTTAGGTTAGGTTAAGAGTAGGTTTATAGGCATCCCTTGCTATCACTTAGCTTGAATACAATATTTAAACAGAGTGTGAGATTCCTCTAAAATGGAGCAATGTGCATTAAACACAGAACTTCCTCATTTTATAATTATTTTGACTGACAAAAATTTTTTTTTACAGAAAAAAAACAAATATGAAATATAATATTCTTGCTTTCAAGAATAACTTTCCTCTCAAACATTTTAGTAAATTAAATTTACTTGAAAATTGTTACACTTTATTTTATTATTATTATTAATCATTATTTTTTTTTTTTTTTTTTTTTTTTTTTTTTTTTTTGCATCTTTATATTTCTAATTTTATTTATTTTTAAAATCTTTCAACTCATATACTCTTTATTTCATTTAAGGTTCTTCCAGGCAAGGCTGCCCCCAGCAGTCCCCCAGAGACGGGCGTCTACGTCAGCCATCTTCACCTTCACCACGCGGCCTGGGACACCGTCCATGGCATCCTGACAGAGGCCCCAGACACCACCCTCCCCTGCCCCATGCCTGTAGTCTGGCTAAAACCAGTCACACAGCTAGAACTGGACCAGCACCACCTGAAACACGGGGTGTACCCCTGCCCTCTGTACGTGTCCTGGCACGCGGGGGCTCTGGGAACGCGGAACCTGGTTACAAAGTTAGACATGCCCACGCTGTTGTCGCCGCATGAATGGGCCGAGAGACGGGTGTTCTTGTCTTCTAGCATACCAGACGCAAACTGATGTCATCTCTGCTTCAATCCCAGTGATGGGCATGATATATATTTAGTGTGAAGTAAATGATAACATGGGAGAATGTGGAAAACCAAAAGACAAAGTGGAAACATATTACACCTTTAAGGTGGAGTGTTCCTGTACACGGCTAGTCTAAGCAAACAAGAAGTACAGATATCAGTCACTAATTGAAGTACATGTGGTTTTCTGTTTAGAACAAAAAATATTCCCCAATTATTTATGGCAGTGACATAACATGCAGATGCATACTTGTGCTCAGCAAGTATTCCAGGTGTACATATGAGAAGTGCACTTTTACCACCAAAGGCAAAACTACATATTATAATCCGTCCCAGACACTTTCTCTTGAAGATGGTGCAGTGTGTTATTTCAAGTACATTAGAGAACCAAAGTGCTTTAATCAGATGTTTATATACATTGTATTTCTATATTTTATGTATTTGTATATAAGGTTTATCGAATGGGTGTTTCAGATTCTTTACAATATTTACAATCTAGATATTTTAAAGTATTCTTTGTACATTGTATATCTTATTTTCAAAAGAATTTACATCTACTATCTGTTGATTTTCAAGACAAAGGTGAAACCGCCATCGTATGCAAGTCTAATATCTTTCTAGTTTGCACACACTGTCAAATTCCATGCGTTCATTTACTATCACTATCAAAGCCAAAGAAATGCATGTTTTAGGACTTCTCTTTACTCGATTTTAGGAAAGCGATCAGCTACAATTTATATACATTCCTTTGCATTTCCATGGCGTTTTTTTTTTTTTTTAAGCAAAGTAGTTTCATTACTTGAAATTATCTTCAATGGGACAAAGATTTACAAAAGTGTGCTTTATACTGTTGCATACAGAGGGCTTTCAAGAAATGTAAGATTACATTCTGTATATACACTTGTCTCAGCTGTGATAATAGTCCGTCCTGTGAAATATAAACCTATTTGATGCATTTTATTCTCGAGTTTTCCTCTATAAAATAAAGGCAAACAACTTGCGTTATGTACTCTGAAAACTGTTATCTGAAATGAACCCTTCTGAATTTTTTTACTGACATCTGAAGACCATTCAATATGGCAAGGATTATTTTTCTTCATATTGGCCATCAGTTTGGCAAAAAAGGAAATGTATAAGGTAACCTTTTTCTTCCAAGGTAACGTTGTGAAAAGCATCAATTTTCAAAATTATCTGGGTAAAAAGGAATATGTAATTCCTACAAAGGACACCTTGACGTTCTTTCATTTTCCAACTAGCAATGAACCACCAAACCAAACTGTCTTTAGATAAGATGTTTATTTCACATTTAGCTGATGTACATTTAATTTTTTTGGAGTTAATTTTTTACCTTTTTGTAGTTTTTACTATCTGATTAATACCACTACCCAACATTTAGTATTGAAAAGACAAGACTACAGACTGCAACTATGACAGTATATACAGCTACAGTAACAACTAATGTTGTATTTACAATGATCCAGTTGCCTTGAAAAAGAGTTTTCAAGAGTTTACATCTTTGACAACAGAACTGGCACACAAAGTTTCTTTCTTCAAGTTTACAANATTGTACATCTAACAGGCTGTCACACCTAACACAATTGTACATCTAACAGGCTGTCACAACTAACACAATTGTATATCTAACAGGCTGTCACACCTAACACATATGTTCAACTAACAGGCTGTCACACCTAACACAATTGTAAATCTAACATGCTGTCACACCTAAAACAATTGAACATCTAACAGACTGTCACACCTAACGCAATTGTACAATTAACAGGCTGTCACAACTAACACAATTGTATATCTAACAGGCTGTCACACCTAAAACAATATTCATCTAACAGGCTGTCTCAACTAACACAATTGTAAATCTAACATGCTGTCACACCTAACACAATTGTACATCTAACAGGCTGTCACAACTAACACAATTGTTAACCTATTCTGTCACATCTAACACAATTGTTTATCTATGCTGTCACATCTAACACAATTGTTTATCTACGCCGTCACACCTAACGTAATAAAGCACATCACAAAATGCCACACATCAAACACAACCCTTGCATTAAAGGACCATCACCACTACCAGTTATACAGGTAACTCGCTTGTTCCTTGTTTTCAGTATATTACCACTGTACAGTGGCATATGTAGCTTATCTGAGCAGTGCCAAAAATACACACTTTAAGGCATGCAAACCAAATTTGTAATCAATTTCATTATATGTTAACAAACCAAAATTCTGTCATAGCTACTGGAAATTTATATAATAATTCCATTTTTTTTACTGTTCATTTTTTTCAAATCTACCACCAAACAATTCCCCTGAAAAGTTCCACCCACTTGTTCTATGTTATGTATTCTGTGGTTCTTCTAGTGAATTTCTTGGCACATGCTAGAACACCTACTGGGTGCAGAGGTGGATACGCCGTCTGCAAAATATTTTATCTTCTCATCAGTCAACGCCTTACATACGAAGTTTGATTTTTAACTCTGAGGGCCTGCTGTCTTTGATTATATGAAATAGTGTAGGTGGAGCTTATACAGGTCGATTCTGGAAGGAAGGTGTAAAATGAAAGAGAGAAAAGAACTTGTGTTCAGACTAAATGATGTGCTCAGTAATAAAAGTGGGTTCTTTTTCTTCCCCCCTCTCAACCTTTTTAAGATGACTTTTAGAAAGCAGGTAAATGATTCAGTTTAAGAGGAATTATGAGTGCAAAGGTCTCCACATGAAAGGGTAGAGCAATGGTGTACGGGTCTACCTGTGGATTAATTTGTTTATTCCAGTTCTTGAGATAAGATCGATGTGAAGTACAAAATGTTTTTAACATTTAGAAATAGGTGGAAAAAAAGAAGAGATTATTTAATGTTACTGGGTGGTTGATCTTTGTAAAAAGCCAAGTCTTTAGCAGGAGCAGTTTGATAGACCACTCTGTTTGGTTATCTGCTGTGCTGCAGTGAGTAAGGGACTGCTTAGAGGGTACAGAGAAAATTAACATTACTTGTGTGAGGGTGGAGAGAGTGACCTTAAAAATATGCCCATGTTTGCTCTGTCTTTCTCTTTCACACACGCACACACATGTACTCTCTCTCTCTCTCTTTCTTTCTTACACACACACACGCATACACACACCGTTTTCTGCATGGCTTCCATTCAGATTCCTATACTAAGTAGCGTACACAGCAATAGTGTCAATTATATCCAGGTATGTTGGCTAAAATGGCGTAACTAGGCTGACTTTTATTCAAACATTTGTTCAGTTGATGAAGTACATGTGTGTGTATTAGAAAGGGTGACGACAACGTATTTGAATTCAGATTTTGTATTTTTGTCCAGTACTGAAATATGCAAAGATTACAGTTTGGAATTCCATAATTCCATTTTTTCACCAATATGTTTCATATAAAATCAGTGGTTTTTAACCAATGTTCAAACTTACTGCTTAATGAGTTGCTCTCTCTTTTGACTTCTCACTGATGTTTTACTCATCATGACGGTTTAGTCAGAAATATTTATACTTCCAAGAATAATCAGTGAAAACCGTTTTCTTTTTTTCTCACTTTCCCCTTGGCAACCTTGCCAGCAAGTGCCTAAGGAAGCTAGTTTTGTATCATATTGACAGTTACACAGGTTTACAGTGGGGAAGAGCGCTGGCAGAGTTCAGGACTAGGAATTCATGCTAATAGATTCTTCACATGGTGTTCTTGCCTAGCTGCGCAATCATTCTTGGCACGGGAAACAAAGACTGGAAATGTGCGAAGTTCCATTATTGGGCTCACAGACGATGAATCAGTCAAAGGGACCGTTTTAGAAATCTGCATTGGAAAAATTCTGAGCAGATTCTACCTGGAATCCTGAACAATTTTTTACTGCTTACCAATTCTCATCATGTCAGGTTCTAAACTTGGAAATTCCCTACAGATTAAGTGTTTAAAACAAACCTTTTTTCACTTAGGTTAGGTTAAGAGTGGGTTTATAGGCATCCCTTGCTATCACTTAGCTTGAATACAATATTTAAACAGAGTGTGAGATTCCTCTAAAATGGAGCAATGTGCATTAAACACAGAACTTCCTCATTTTATAATTGTTTTGACTGACAAAAATATCATCTTTTTTTTCCACAGAAAAAAAAAACAAATATGAAATATAATATTCTTGCTTTCAAGAATAACTTTCCTCTTAAACATTTTAGTAAATTTAATTTACTTGAAAATTGTTACACTTTATTTTATTATTATTATTATTATTATTATTTCTTTTTTTTTTTTTTGCATCTTTATAATTCTAATTTTATTTATTTTAAAAATCTTTCAACTAATATACTCTTTCTTTCATTTAAGGTTCTTCCAGGCAAGGCAGCCCCCAGCAGTCCCCCAGAGACGGGCGTCTACGTCAGCCATCTTCACCTTCACCACGCGGCCTGGGACACCGTCCATGGCATCCTGACAGAGGCCCCAGACACCACCCTCCCCTGCCCCATGCCTGTAGTCTGGCTAAAACCAGTCACACAGCTAGAACTGGACCAGCACCACCTGAAACACGGGGTGTACCCCTGCCCTCTGTACGTGTCCTGGCACGCGGGGGCTCTGGGAATGCGGAACCTGGTTACGACATTAGACATGCCCACGTTGTTGTCGCCACACGAATGGGCCGAGAGACGGGTGTTCTTGTCTTCTAGTATACCAGACGCGAACTGATGTCATCTCTGCTTCAATCCCAGTGATGGGCATGAAATATATTTAGTGTGAAGTAAATGATAACATGGGAGAATGGAAAACCAAAAGACAAAGTGGAAACATATTGCACCTGAAGGTGAAAAGTTGCTGTACATAGCTTGTTTAAGCAAACAAGAAGTACAGATATCAGTCACTAATTGAAGTACATGTGGTTTTCTGTTTGGAACAAAAAATATTCCCCAATTATTTATGGTAGTGACATAACATGCAGATGCATACTTCTGCTCAGCAAGTATTCCAGGTGTACATATGAGAAGTGCACTTTTACCGCCAAAGTTTTAACTACATATTATAATCCATCCCAGACACTTTCTCTTGAAGATGGTGTGGTGTGTGATTTCAAGCATGTTAAAGAACCAAAGTGCTTTAATCAGATGTTTATATACATTGTATTTCTATATTTTATGTATTTGTATATAAGGTTTATCGAATGGGTGTTTCAGATTCTTAACAAATGTGCCTCATAATATTTACAATCTAGATATTTTAAAGTATTCTTTGTACATTGTATATCTTATTTTTAAAAGACGGAGATGAAATCTTCATCGCATGTACATCCAATCCTTTCAAGTTTACAACACACTGTCCAATTTCAAGTGTTAATTTACTATTACTATCAAAGCCAAAAATCACTAAAAAAACATGTTTTAGGACTTTTCTTCACTTGATTTTAGGAAAGTAATCGGTTACAATTTACATACATTCCTTTGCATTTCCACAGAGTAATTTTTTAAGAGTAGTTTTATTACTTGAAATTATCTCCAATGGGACAGTTTAAGATTTACAAAAGTGTGCTTTATGCTGTTACGTACAGAGGGCTTTCAAGCAATGTAAGATTAGATTCTGTATATACACTTGTCTCAGCTGTGATAAACATAATAGTCCGTCCTGTGAAATATAAACTTATTTGATGCATTTTATTCTCGAGTTTTCCTCTATAAATTGCATTTATATACTCCAAAAACATTAGAATCTGAAATGAACCCCTCTGAATTTTTTTACCAACATCTGAAGAGCATTCAATACGACAAGGATTATTTTTCTTCATATTGGCCATCAGTTTGGCCAAAAAAAAAGTACAAGGAAACCTTTTTCTTCCAAGGTTGTGAAGAGCATCAATTTTCAAAATTATCTGGGTAAAAAAGAATTTGTAATTCCTACAAAGGACACCTCGACTTTCTTCCCTTTTCAACTAGCAATGAACCACCAAACCAAACTGTCTTTAGATAAGATGTTTATTTCACATTTAGCTGATGTACATTTAATTTTTTTGGAGTTAATTTTTTAGCTTTTTGTAGTTTTTACTATCTGATTAATACCACTACCCAACATTTAGTATTGAAAAGACAAGACTACAGACTGCAACTATGACAGTATATACAGCTACAGTAACAACTAATGTTGTATTTACAATGATCCAGTTGCCTTGAAAAGAGTTTTCAAGAGTTTACATCTTTGACAACAGAACTGGCACACAAAGTTTCTTTCTTCAAGTTTACAGAAAATACCGATCATCACATTGAAGTGTTTTTTTATACGTGACCAAAAATAATAATAATATACACTATACAAGCACTGCAGTTGCTCCACATTTGAATGCCAACAAAATATTTCCAGGGCATTTCTGCAAACAGGAAAGTTGTCATTCTTTCATGTACATCTCATTTCTACTTAAAATTTCTCCCAAGGAACAATTCCCAGTTCCAGTATTTGAAATCCTAGATGGTTACAATGAAACACTTTGCCCTTAAAAACTTTGTACACCAGACTTGAAAATCAATAAACAAAGAAAAATCAACTAAAGACGTACATGATGCTTTCTCATATCACCCATTTGTTATAGAAAAATAAGTTAGATTTGTTAAAATAGTGCTTCGTCTTCTACCAAATATCTAATATTAGACAAAACTTTAAATTATGACCCTCATTATCAATAATATCATTTAAAAGTGATTATCCAAGCTTTTAAAATGAACAGAAAAAAAATCAGCAGCCAGGCTGAAAATAAAGTTGGGGGGAAAAATACAAATTGAAATAGAACAATTTCATCTACAGTTAAAGGTTTTCCATTAACAGAGGACAAGGACACAAAACATTACAATTGGGACATACATGGGACAAACCTACACATTACAATGTCAACACTTATCTAAAACTCTGCCTCTTAATGCTTTCAAAACTACCATCAGCATTTGCTGTTGCAGTAAACAAAACACAAGAAACTTGTCTGAAAATAATCTGCTATGACAAAAATTTACAAATCCTTATCACTTGTTGTTGTCCTAAAGGAAGCAGGGTACAAGTGATCCAAAAAGAAACCCACCATGAAAATCAAATTTAATGGGCTGTGTTTCTTTTAGTATAAAACTGAATAGTTAAGCAAGAAATCTACAACAGGCTCAACTTTTCAAGCTATTTCAAATATAAAAGAAAAAGATTGGCAAATGCTGATTGACAAACTTGTAACCTTTTAAAAGCAGCATTTTTCATAATTATATGCTGCCATATGTTCCAAGTATATAAGACAGCACTGTTCTCAAAGACAATGATATTCTACAAAAGAAAACGTTATAAAGACAATGCATTTATCTCTAAATATCTGCATATTCTATACTAATTATCTCAATCACAATAGTCTAGAGTACAATTATAGAGAGTATGAACACTCAAGAGTTCTTTTTTTGTTTTACAAGTAACTATACATAGATATATACTTATATACAAACGGTTTAAAGAAATGCTTGGTTAGCTAGCATTGATCAAAAACTAGTCTTTAATACAAGCACAAAAGTGCCAAACGTTTTTTCTTCTCATTACTGATTTAATGTATGGATTACAATCATGTACAATTTCTAAAATCTAAGTGAAAGAGCTCACTCAATTGTAAATATCCAAATCTTTGTATGCAGTATTTCAATGATACTTCAAACATATGTTCTCCTCACATTACAAGATACTCAAAAGTTCATCAATGTATATGATAGTATGTTTCCACATATATGTACAACAGAGGCAATGGAAAACCTTGCCTTCTCTTTAAAACAACAGAATGCTTGCTGCTCCAAAAACTTTACAACATTTCCTCCTTTTTTTTTCCTTGCTTCATTCAGCTACCACCTTTCAGGCCATGTGTGACTGACAATAATTAGGTCTAAGTGACTAATAATAATAAAAATAACAATATTTATAATAGTGAGCTACAGGTCTAAAGTGACTGCTAACATTACAATGACTCTACGACTACAGTACCTAAGAACACTCCTGTTATAACTGGTTGCTATCTGGGGTCGGGGGTGGGGTCAGGGGGGTGATGATCATCTGGTCAGATCTCTCGGGACTAGTGAGAACATTGATAATTGTACCATTGACCGTTTTACGGACCAACTGAGGTGGTTGTTTGGAATAACTTAAATGACCACAATGTTGTGGCTGCTGATGATGTTGTTGTTGACGTACTGGAGTTGTTGTTGTAACAGCTACTGGGGTCTTGTAATAAGCTGGAGCCTGGGCATCAGTGGCATACATGGTACGGTGGATAGGAGGTTCCATATGTAGAATACTGCCCTAGAAAGAATGGCATCCCTAAAGTTTAAGTAACCGGAGGCGGAAGCATGCACAGCAAGCATATGGCAATGGCAGCAAGAACACTGGCAACAAATGTTACATACAGCAAGCAGCTGAGGTAGTTTACGGCAAAGCAGCAACTGATTAAAGCAACAAGCAAATATTAACAAGCAAAATGTCTAAATTGGAAATGCAATTAACATTCTAAAGCATCCATCAATTTTTTTATTAAGAAGATAAACATAAGTATATTTCAAAGTACAGTTAGTCAAGGAGTTAGTGTAACATTTCTGTTGAAGTAATAAATCTATTCCTCAAGCTTCATATGCCCAAAATGATTTTTTGGTGTTAAATAGTTTACAAAATGGGATTTTACATCAACTACTACTAGCCAAACACTGCCATTTATCCTAACAAATATAGTTATATAATTGCACAATGTACCATAAAAACCAGCTGCCCCTAAATTTTCTCCCTGATACACAGTGTGAAAAGGGGATAACTACCTGGCAACAGTAAGTAAACAACCAGTAAAAGTACTGAAAACAAATCACATGTTGGCATATCTTCAGTCTGAAGCACCATCTTTCTTCCACATACATGCAATCATGCAAATCAGAGCTGGTTCCTATACAACTAGCAGGTGCCCCCCCCCCCCCCCTTTCCTTCCTTTACCTTTTCTTTATCAGCATAGTCATACATGTCATGCATCTCCAGCAACATCCTATTCCCTGCCCTTTACCACAAGGTATACTAATCAAGGTACTAAATATATAACATGTACTATGTTACGGTACACGGTCCTTTGAACAAAGGAAGATTAATGTACAGATTCCTGCAGTCCACTTCCATGTTCACCATCTTGCACGGCTGATCAAAGCACACCTTATGAACACTCTTTAGATCCCCCTCCACCCCAATCCTTCCTGCTTGAACTGATCAGTTATCTTTGAACATGCAATGCCACGATGTACCCATGCAATCAGTCTGTACATGCTCTGGTGATACATTACCATACAGTCACTGCAAAAATACTGTATAAGGTACTAGCTGAAGCTGTAGTACAAGTAAGCAGGTATCACTGGGTGGTATGAAGGAACAAAAAACTTTCCCAGAAAGTTCTATCAGCAGACACCAGGCAGGGCAGTCTTTCTCCCTATGATAACTTGATCTGGACAGAGATTACAGCTGTCTGATTTTTTCCTGTTGCACAAAATGGGCAAAGAAAGGTGGGCTCTGATTATTCTTGAGGGAGAAGAACTTGCTTTGGTCAAATGGACCAGCTGAAGGATTTGCCAGTACAAAACTCACATGCACTGGCTAGTTGCCTTGGGCTTCACCTGCACCTTGGTTCTGACTGTGTAACACATTAATATCCAAAATTGCAGGGCACTTACAGTATTCAAAACAGGGGAACATCTTTAGAGAGGAAAAAGACAATAAAACAAATGACACCTGCTTTTTGAATTTGGTGCCATACCATTATGCTATTCTGCAGTATAAACAGGTTGTGGAGAAATCAAAGCATTTCTTTCACCTGAATATGCTGCTGTAATAGATAACAACAACCTGTACAGTACATCACACATACTGGGCCAGGATAGATCACCCACTTCACATTTCTCTTGCTGGAAGAGTTTGGGAGATCTGCCACCAGATATGCTTTGATTTGATGTTTCATGGGAAATCAACCTTGATATGTCAATAAGATAATGTGGTACCCCATGTGTTTAGAGCCTTTAATGCAACAGTAAGTGTTTGCATAGACATCATTCTACTTATATTGGCAAGAAGTCCTCTCCTCCCACATTTATGAGATTTGCTGAATTTGTTGTAATACCAGCAACCTCTAACTGAACTTTACTTATGCTATGTATCAATATGCAATGCATATCCACAAAATGAATACTCTCTTCAAGGACAAAAACATTTTTCCTACTAAATCCTTCACTTAGATGTACAAAACAGGTAAATTAAGCCCCTGTTTTCAGGATCCTTGCCTCATCTATCATTTCTCTCTCAGTAACTGCCCCAGGCCCCAGTTTTTTCCTCTCTTTTTCTAATACAAATGTTTTGGCTACCTTCAAGAACACCTATCTCGTGTGCCCCTTTTTTTTTTTCTTTTTCCCAAGAGATTCATTATCTATGCCAGAAAGATAACACTACCTGGAGTTTTTAAAACAATAAATCAGTCTTTTTGCCAAAGGGAAAGGACAACCACCTCTGCAACACAATTTTCCCCCAAAGATGCATGAACTCCATACCAAATAAGGTGTAAGTAAAAAAAGAATACACCTGGAGCCGAGCTATTAGCACAACACTCACAGGCATGGATGGGTTCAGTGACATTTCAAAGATGGGCAGAAAAAAAAGAGCCAATTCTCATACATCAGGGAGGAACAGCTATGTGGGGGTCGTAAGCAATTACCAAAGATGTTAAGTAAGAAACAAATGCTATCTCCTCTCCTCTCTGATCATATCAGAGGAATTCAGGCACTTGCACTGCCTGTCTGCTCCAGAGATCACCACAAGATAGGGCAGATAGTTAATAGCCAGGTTATTTCTGTAACTGTTCCAAGCAAATGAAGACATCCCACAGATTTATAGCCAGTGATTTAGTGGTTTTTCCTCTGAGTCTGTGATGATATAATGACACACCTTGTTGTGGTAGACCCAACAGGTATTCTCCATCCTGCAGTGGGGAGCAGTGTACACAGCACTGCCCTGTTCAGGTGTGTTAACACTACACATCACTGCCCTCAGCCCCAGCAGGAAACACTCAGCAAGACAAACTTCCTAGAATCTGGGCTTTTAATATAACTTAACTGCAACCTAAAGGTTACACATGCTTTTGTCTAGATAAGAATCAAATTCTACTATTTTTTCACTTCCTTATTTCTTTTCCTCTTTAATACTAATAATTTTTCCTTTGTATCAATAAACTATTGCAATTGGACTCTTATGTGAAGCAATAAATCATCAGATTAGAACTAGTCCGTGGGCCAAATACCGAAACCCTCCCCCCCCTTAGTGATTTTCGTTCACTGTGTTTTTCTGATAGCTTAGGTCCTTAGCTTTTATTTTCTGCTTGTTTGCCATTAAACTGGTGGTGGGTGTGTGTGCTACAGCCGTTGCCATGGTAACACACGGGTTAAAAATTGACATTTCTGAGCCCAACAAAATCTAAAATATTTCAAATACATAAACTAAATAGAATTCAAAATCGTTCTAGACATGTAGTCTAAGATGTGCACTATACCTAACGATGAACAAAATTTTCCAAGATGGCGGCAAATCCAAGATGGCGGCCAATTTTTGCTGTTTTTTAAGAAATTTTGATAATTTTTAATTTTTTAATTCTTATTTAAGTATTAAAGAATTGCAATATCTGGGATATTTTGATGCACCAGTGTAGCATGGAATCTCTACTTTCTGTCTGCAGTGTTTGTTCAAGGTGCAATCTTTTTATTGAGATGAAAAATCCTGAAATCCAACATGGCTGCCACAAAACAAGTCTTTTA